AACTAAACTATTCCATCATCTATTCCATCTTTGTGAGTCTAAAGTCCTATATGTAACTTATCTTTAATCCTGACTAAGGAAAACTATAACCATAACTATCTGTCTTCAACTCCCTCAAAGACCACAAAAGGATAGTATATAAGCTATAGAAATGACAGAGACAACTCACTGCCTGGTCACCCAAGGTTCTTTTGTAATCTTCCATCTTCAGCCCATAGGCCATAGTGTATCTAGCAGACTCTTCAGCAACACAGGAAACTTTAAACTGTCTTCTTGTATTGGCAGTTTATCAATCACTTTTCTCTGTGCCCTGCATACTGTCTCGCAGACTCTTCCATGAAGCAGGAACTCTGTAGCAATGTCCATCTTGAATCAGCAGTCACTTTTCTGTGGGTCCTGCATGTCCAGTTTATACAGCATAAAGTCAAACAGTCCAGACAAGAGCAGTGTCTTGTCCAAATGGCTAGTCTTGCCATATTGGAAGCAAACTTCATAATGCATTTCTTCGATGTCCATCTTCCTTTCTGGTGCAGGTGGTATTGCCAAGAGCAATTATGTCTCACTGTCACAAAAACTCTAAACCACTTTAAATGCCATATTCTATAGGTCTTTGAAAGGTTTGAAGAATGCCTATTTATCTCAAATACATCTCTGGGTATCTTGAAAACCTAACTAACTTAACTCTAAGCTTTGACTATCATAGGTAATTATCTATAATCTGTACTACATTATCCAATATGTTTCTGAATGAACTATATAAACACAATACCTAAACAAAAGGAGAAATATATACATCACAAAATTGACCTTAAATTGTATCAATAAATGAAAATCCATTACAAAACAAAGTATTCATATCTATACCATAATCCCCTTTTTACCTTTAAAAAGAATTAGCTGTGATCATTAACCATTTATAACCAAATCCATTTAAATGAAAACAAACATTTATAAACAATATTTGGGAATTTGGGCGTCGTTCTTTCCAAACTACTTCCTGCTGACAGGGGGCGCTGTCATGGGGGATCCTGAGAAGACGTAGAAATCTTGGCTGTAGTCTGTAAGGCTGTTTTGTTCAGCTGTTTTGAATATAGGATCACCTGGTACTCTGTTTCAGGCGGTCTGGCTTGCTCAAACCACATTAGTCTGGAAGGAATCCACAGCTTTTTATTTTCTGTGGAAACAAAAATAGAAATCCTTTTCCCAACTAACTTGTCCTTAGACTTAAATTTTTGAGTCAAAGCATTTTTAAAATATATAAATTGAATTAATCCAGCAACATTTCCTTTATCAATTGTTGTTATTTTCTCAGTAGTCAAAGGATGCAGAGACAACACAATAGCATACAGTAACCAGATTCTCTCTGAGCTTTTCATCTTTATGTGGCTTTATTATTACTCCGTTTCTTTTACTTTTTATTTTTTGAGACAGGGTTTCTCTGTGTAACTCTTATCTGTCCTGGAATTCACTCTGCATACCAGGTTTACTTTGCAAATCACACAGATCTGCTTGCCTCTGTCTCCTGAGTGCTGGGATTAAAGGCGTGTGCTACAACACCCAGTTCCTCTTTGTCTCTTTAAAACCTTTTTTTTTTCATGTCTACATATATTTTAAAACACACTGTAAACCTTTAGAAGTTTTTCTTAATATGAATCTGTCTTTACTGTAAATCTTTATCTTCGTCTGGCCACAAGTCCTTTATCTGGTAAACAACAACATTGCTAAAATGAAAGTCATAGCTGTATCAGCCGCAGTTTACCAAAGATGGTGGCAGGTACTTTTACCTGCCAGCACAGAAAGGTGTGCTCACTGCCTTGGTCTGCGCTGCCACCCAGAAAGCATGCTGCCTGCTTGGAGATGTGGTCACTGCCATTGCCATCTTTCATACACACCAATAAATTGTTAGCAGAGTTATTTAAAAGCTGTGAGCCCAAAACATTTCAAACAGTGGAGAAGATGCTCTCTAAACAGTCACCTATAAAGATACAGAATTAGAAGTCAGCTGTTTACCAGTACTCTGAGTTGACTGTTACAATAGAACATACCATAAATGCAGAATTTTTAAAAGAACATAGACAAAATTTATTTTGAATTCTTTCCTCATAATAATAAAAACAGATTTCAAGTTGGTTAAATTTAATTTTTATTTTTGATATCTGCTTCACCGAGGAGCAATAATCCTTGAATATATCAGTGTTTGATGGATATTAACAATTGCATGTGTTTTGGTCTACCACCATAATTAATAAACAAACATCCCTACAACTTTTGCTAGATTTTTTTACCCTTCTGCAGGAGATAAATTTGATCACCTCAACCAAAATAAGTAATATATTTTATAACATTATAAATTTAGTGAATTTTATAGAGTTTTAAATAAATAGAACCATATATTATATATTCTTTCATGTTGAGGTTTCTTTCATTTGCATAATGATTTCTAGTCTCATACCCTGTTATACTTATATCAAGCTTGTTCTTTTTCTTGCTAAATACCCACCATTGAGTATATATACTATTAATATCCTCAAACGGAAGAGTTTTATTGAATCTAACTGGGAAGACTCAAATAAAAGTTGTAAGATTTGTATATACAATATGATGAGAACATATTTTTTTGGTGAGGGTAGGAAGGTAAATTTGGTGAGGGTAGGAAGGTAGATTTTTGGGTTGCGTGGGCTGATGACTAAACTGGTTGAAAACTTGTATCCAGAATTACCTGAGAGATATGCTTCTGGGTGGGTCTGGAAGGGCATTTCCTGGAAGAATCAACAGAGGGCAAAAGGCTTTCCTGCAGAGTGGGCATAGTTCTGGTGGTGGCCTACATGTATAGAGGTCTGAGAGAAAAGCTGCTTCTTCCTTAGCCTCATGCTGGTGAATGTATCTACCTTGTGGTGGTGGCCGCTATTGCTGCAGACATCCACTACTGAAATGGAACCCAGCTTCTTTGACTTTTCACCTCAAATGGAAGGCCTGGAGTTTCTGGAATTCTCCAGAACTACAGTTTGAGACTGAGACTTCTGAGGAGACCAGCCTCATGGAGACAGTAGCTAGTGCATTCTGAGACTGGCTAATGCTGTGACAGCTATTGAACTACCCAGACCATATCCTCTAAGCCAGGCTAATACATCTCCATTGAATTCATGTTCGCTCTGTTGGTTCTGTTCCCATTGAGATACTGACTAACACACATGGGTTTATGTTTAATACTTCAAAACATGTACAATAAAAGGTTAGATCACTTTGCATATGCACCAGATGTGTTGGGGGGACTCCAGCTGCACTTCATATTTACCAAAATTTGGGTGGAAGACTGTTCTCTTTCTCCTGGCAGCCCTAGTCAAAATCCTGTGACCCTTCCTGAACTGCCCAGAACACACTATTTTCCCAGTAACTGGGGGTTCCAGGCACACACCTGCACCTCACAGTCATCCTGCTATTGAGACTTAGTTAGCTGCATTGGGCTCTGTGTAGAAGGAAAAGGAAGAACTAGGCAAGCCGAAGAGAACAGTGAAATATTCCAGAGTCTAAAGCTCAATATACCTATGCTAGTCAATCCCATAATGCATTTCTAACTCTGCTAGACATAACAGTTAAAGAAAACTTAGAAATGTATGATTGGAGGGGGAAAAAATTTGGTTTTGGTTGGAATGGTAGTGGAAAGGAACACAGCACTGTATAAACATGTCCAGGACATTCCTGAAGGTACACATGGGAAAGACATTTTAAGTCTGTTTCTCTCTCTCTCTCTCTCTCTCTCTCTCTCTCTCTCTCTCTCTCTCTCTCTCTCTCTCTCTCTCTCTCTCCTCTCTCTCTGTTAAAAGTTTATGGAAAGCTGCCTATAAGGCAACTAGGTGTGCTTGCTGGAGGCAGATGCCACATTTTATTCAATGGTGAAGGAAATAAAAATCACTTTGAGGAAGACAAAAATAGCTTTGTTTTAGTTATATAAACCTATGGCTAATTAGAAGGGACCAGTTAGAGCTCATTGGTGTTTTTGTTTCATCACTGTTCATAAATAATTAATTCTCATAACTAATATATAATTACATTACTAATAAGTATTAATAAAAATATAAGATTACTTGGGGACATTATTTGGAAAATCTTGGGACATTTTTCAACTTTTCTGTTCATCAATATGGTACCTGGGAAACATCAGACTATTTGTCTTCATCTTATGGCAAATTTACCTCTGAAACTGGCTTTCTTCCTGGTAGCTGGGGACATTCAGGCAGGAGTTGGCTCCATATGACATGATAAACACCTGAGCTGGCAGCGAGGGATCTGATCTGTTTTTACCCCAGATGTTCTCACCTCTTGGGAAACGCCATTTCTTCAACTGTAAAGTAACAGCCAGTGCGAAGAGGAAAATCTTGTAGAAAATGATCCTTCCTTCCAATTGCCCCAAAGCCATTGAAGAATACTCAATCTGACACTTTTATTCTAGTTTTTCTTTGTCGTACCTTCCAAGAGACAATAATAGGAACTCAGCAAAGCTTTACTTTGTTAAAACTTTTTGTGACTTGAAAGTATTTCTTCTTTAAAGGCTAAAGGTTGTAAGAACATTTTAAAACTCTTTCAGTTAATCAATAGTCTAAAAGCCTTGTGGCGATTTGTCCTACAGAGGCAGCACACCACGGGAATAGTGACTGAACTCAGATTGCCCATACATACTGTTTTCTTTTCTTTTAATTAATGTCTTTTCGACTGCATGATCAGACTCTTCCAGTGGTTGCACAACGCTGTGAAATTGGAAGATAGGGCTGAAGGTTTTTGTGTTATGGGCAAGAATGAAGGTGGTGGCTGAACTTCGCACTGTAGAGTAGCTGCTCTCTGTCCCAGGGGAAGGGGGATGACATATAAGGAACCTGAAGACTGTGAAACACTATGAGAACGAAAAGAGTAAAGAAAAAAAAATATCAAGCCAAAAAGTGGATATAAAAAACTAGTTTTTCTCTCCTTTCCTCCGGCGCGCGACCGATGATCCAATTGTCATCATGGGTCGATGCCTTGCCCGGTGTTGCCAACATTGTAAGAACAAGCCGTACCCCCAAAGTCTCGCTTCTGCTGAGGTGTCCCTAAAATTCGAATCTTCAATTTGAGATGGAAGAAGGCGAAAGTTGATGAATTCCCACTTTGTGGACACATGGTGTCAGATGAATATGAGCAGCTCTCTTCTGAAGTTCTAGAGGCTGCCTGTATTTGTACCAACAAATACATGGTAAAGAGTTATGGCAAGGATGGCTTTCTTATTCGAGTGAGGCTCCACCCTTTCCATGTCATTGGAATCAACAAGATGTTGTCCTATGCTGGAGCTGACAGGCTCCAGACAGGTATGCGTGTTGCCTTTGGGAAGCCCCAGGGCACAGTGGCCAGGGTTCACATTGGCCAGGTCATCATGTCCATCCACACCAAGCTACAGAATAAGGAACATGTGATTGAGTTTCTTCGTAGAGCCAAGTTCAAGTTCCCTGGCCGCCAGAAGATCCACATCTCAAAGAAATGGGGCTTCACCAAGTTTAATGCAGATGAATTTGAACACATGGTTGCTGAGAAATGGCTCATTTCTGATGGTTGTGGGTGGGGTCAAATATAGCACTGCACTCCTGAGAGCTTCCACAGTGCTCTTCTGTACCCTAACAAAATATGTTCACTAATAAATCTCACATCCAGTCTGCTTTAAAGAAAGAGCAGTTTTGTGATACTTGGTAACTACTATAGTCCGTTTTTACTTTCTATAATTTGGAAACCAAGAGGGGCACTTTGATTCAACTTAACAGGATTTCAGAAATTGGTATAAATAGTATGGTCAATTCCCAATATACTGAAATATAAATGCTATTCCAGAATGGCCCTGCCCCAGTCAATGCCTCCTGCTTAAATCAACAGGAAGACCTAATTGAAATGGTGTGTGTGTGTGTGTGTGTGTGTGTGTGTGTGTGTGTGTGTGTGTGTGAAATGAGCCCTCATTTGACACCAAGTCTGCTGGCACCTTAATCTAGGACTTCTTAGCCTCCCAAACTGTGAGACTCCCGAGCAGGGAGAAGCAATGAGATGTATGCCAGACACCTTGGAGGTCACAGAAGAGTACTAGCTGTAGCTCCGCTCCCCAAGAACAAGCTGTCCCTTAGAGTAAGGGGAAAATGACTCTTAAGGCCTTTCAGAGATGCGAAGTGCTGCCTTTCTCCTTATTTTCAAAAGAGGGAAGCATTATTATTATTATTTTTGCTTCCATCGGGGGAGGGGCAGGGGCTTTGCCAGAGCTAAGGGGGCACCCTATAGAGCCTTGGGAGAACAATACTTGAAGTGCAGAGCTCTGGGGATAGGATCTGCACCCAAGTGAATGCCTCCCACTAAAATCCTTCTGAAGGGGAGGTGGAACTTTCCTTTACACGGTGTGAAGATGTGTCATTGTGATTGGTTTGATTAAAAATCTAAACAGCCAATCGTTGGCAGAAGGTATGGGCTGGATTGCCAGGCAGAGAGAACACTGGGAAGAGGAAGGGGGGAGTTGCCAGCCAGATGTTAGGGAGCCGGATGGCGATTCAAGAGTAAAGGTAATAGAGCTAAGTGAAGAAACAGATGAAAAGATGTGGGTTAATTTAAGTTTTAAGAGCTAGTGGGAAAAGCCCTGTGTCATTCTTTGAGCTGGCAGCCCAAAGGAAACTGTACTTAGAAGCCCACAGCTGAGTCTGGGGCACTCAACCCAAAGTAATGGAATTGCTTCTGAGCCTCAAGATCTAGAGGAATTGTGCCGTCAGTTTTGCCCTCACCAGGGACCTCTCACTCACTTCTGGCTTCTTTCTCCTCTCTCCCTCGTGGGGAATGCTCTCTCATGCCTGTCCCACAATTTTATTTTGTATTACATAAAGTTCTGTTATGTACGATCCACTTGATACCTTGTTAAAGTAGCTAGGAACTAGGAAGAACAGATGCAAAATAAATGACCACGACCAAGGAACCACAGCATAGTGAGTTACAGAATCCTTTCGGTTCCAATCTTTTTCTATGGAGGTTCTCTTAGTAAATTTGCCAGATGCCCCCTTAGTGCAGTGTGACTTTCCATTGCCCCATAGCACACTGTAAACTCCAAAACCTCCCCCTTCTTCCCAGGGCTCTTGGGAGGGGATGGTCTTAGCACTGTGGTGAATTCATTTCTGCCCACAGAGACAGCATCACCTCAGGCTGTTTGGCTGTCTGTTTGGGGCTCTGCTTCAGCTAGACTTGGCTGATCCTCATGATAACTTGTGTCCTGTAGCCTTAGATACTGTCTCCACCTGTGGGAGCCTTCAAGACTTGACCCTGTTAGAGTATCCTATGTTCCAGCTCCTTGCCATCGAACTCATGCCACTTAAAACAGGGGACTTCCATTTCCCATGGTTTGGGAGAGATTGTCACTTCCTTTAATCCTTGTGTAGAGAAGGTATTTCTTCATAAAATGAGGCCAAATAAACTGCTCTCATATTATTTAGTTCTATTTATTTTTCTGTTGTCGTAGACAACATAGAATGAAGCAACCCCTCCAACTCCTTTTCCCAGCTATAACTCCCTAATGTTTTCCTACAGAAATACGTTTTGTAAATGGAAACAAGTTCACAAAAAGCTGTGTATGCTTTGATACCAGCTGCTCCAGTACTTTTTGTCGTGTTCTGGAATACTTCATACACCTTGCTCATTTCTGGTAATTCTAGAACGTGCTAGAATTGTCTGGTAAAGTGGTTGAAGAACAATGTTGTGGGAGTGGGAAGGGAGAGTGTCCCTTGTCACCTTCGCTTGGTTCACAATGACTTCTTGTTTGGCATTGCTTTGGCACTCCACATTCCTTTTGTTAGTACTCACTTGGCAAGGCTTTTGTCTTTTGTTTGAGGAGAGAGTTTTTTCTTTGTAACACAAATGGAGAATGTTCTTAAGCCCTTACATGAGCTTAGCCTAATTATGTTCATTGGTAGGAGTGGTTGTTTTCTATCCTGTTACTTTAGATTCCTCTCACAGCTTTGAAGCTTCATTGCTTTGGGCATCTGAGATGTTCAAAGAGCTCTTGTCTTCATATTTGATTTATGGGAAAGAGGTCAGTATATTTGCTCCCATAATTTTGGTCAACTTTATACCTCATTAAAAATAATAATATTTATAATTGAACTCATAATTTTGACATTTGCCCCAATCTTTTACTGTGGTTAAAGAGAGATTCATCACAATTTTTCCCTGTGGATTTTCTGGACACTTTTTTCCTACATGTTTACTTTTGGTTCTAATCAAATATGTGCATATGCATCCATGCATGGATATGTGCATGTGTGGTCATGTGCCTATGGAGACCCAAAGAGGGTGTCAGATGCCCTGAAGCTGGAGGTCTAGGTAGTTGTGAGCTGCCTGGCATGGATTTGGGGAACTGAACTGAGATGAGCCATCTCTCTAGTCCCTACCCTCAGTCCTTCATTAGCTAAATCTCTATTATTTTGTTTACTATCAAATTCTTTTCCAACAGATGAGAACAATTTCCTTCAAATCTACATTTGACATATTCTTTACATACATGTTGACATTTTCTTTATTTCAGGGAACTCTTAAGTAAATTGTGTTATATATATGTATTTGTCTTATCTCTTTATTTCAATTTGTTCTATGATGTGGGAGGTCCTTCTGTATGCTGCAATTAGGTGTTGCTTTTATTGGTTGATGAATAAAGCTGTTTTGGCCAATGGACAGGCAGAATTTAGCTGGTGGGAATTCTGAACAAAGAGGCAGGGAAAGGAAGAGAAAGAAGAATTGCCATGTAGTCATCAGGGAGGCAGGAGGCCTAGGCATCATCAGTAAACCAGGCTATATGAAGATACACAGATTAATAGAGACGGGTTAATAATAAGAGAGAGCTAGCCAATAAGAAGCCTAAGCCATTGACTAACCAGTTTTAACTGATATTCAGTCTCAGAATGGTTATTTCATTAAGCAGCTGTGGGACCCAGTGGGTGAAGAGAAACTGATCCAGTGGGACCGACATAAGTGGGGAAAATTTCTCTCTACATTCCCATGAGCTCCTTGTATATTATCTAGGATCTTCTTCATTATCTTGTATTTCTGAGAAAAGCTAATGGGATATCACTGGGTTTTTATTAATGTTTCCATTCTCTGACTATGAAGAAGAGAAGCTAAAAGTGAATTTTGGTCACTTTTCTCAGATTGCAGATGTAAAGCTGAGCTAGGTGAGTGGGTGATGCTAGATGGCTAAGGGCAGCATAGGTTTCATTTCTGTTGAAGCATGAGGCAGAGGCTTTGCTCAAAGCATGAAGTGTCCACATGACTGAAGGGAAACATAAGCCTGCTTTAGATTTTATTTCTCCCTATACAGAGAAATGATTCACGTGGAGGCTTTGAACTACAAAACAACAACAACAACAACAACAACAAAACAAACAAACCCTTAATTGAATGTTTATCTCCTATAAAACACAATGTTGAATATGTTAATGTTACTTGCAAATCAATTTCTGGATTTCTGGAATAATATTTATAAGGGTTCATATTATAAAATGTTAATCCTCTGTAGTAGAAGTTTGGCCCTGGCAAAGAGAAAGAGTGGACCAGATTGTCCCCAAAGGAATGGAAACACAATCTTTCTGCTTTAGTGTAGACAGCTTACCCTAGATAGGTGAGAGCATTCAGTTGAAGAATGAAACCACGTTGTCAAAGAAATTCCTGGCATCACTGCCTTAGGCCAAGCCTGTAACTAAGGGTAGCCAGATCCCCACTTTGGGTGCTTTGATTTTCACTTCTTACTCAGAGGAGCATGGCCCATGGCATTGTGTAACTCTCAGGCATGAGGACAAGGAAGAGGTGCCAGGTCCAGGTTCTGCGTGACAAAACCTTTGAAAAGGAATCCAAAGGAAGTGAGTGGGGTCCGTGAAGAGCACCAAGAGGGCCTGCAATTTAAAATTCTTCAGCTGCTCGGTGAATTACGTACCCTCCCTTCTATGGATGTTACAAATATTTTCCTTTTTCTGCTGTTTCCTCTTTTCACTCTCAGCCAGAGACAGGAGATAACAAAGTGTTTCCCCCAGCACATACTGAAATCAATTCTACCAGTAAGTACGGATCCTAAAATGAACTGTCTTGACCCTCTCATAAAAAGAGGCATTTTCAATTGCTTACTGATAGCTGAGAAGTACACATCATTTTTCATACTCATAGCCTTAGTAATCAGTCAGGTGTCTGGACATTTCATTACCAGCAATATTTTACTATCTATCCATCTCTGCTCTTCCAAGTGCCTATTTTTAACACCGCGACAATAGATATTAACCAGTTGACAAAAGAGTATTCTGATATATGATGTTTAAGAACAGGTGTCCAGGTACAAAAGGATGTGGTTCATCTAGGCTGCATACTAAATTCTCTCCAAGCCTTGAAAGTCACTGTCACACATGTACCTACCTGTAGAAACTGTGGCAAGAAGTAAACTTATCTTATGTTTAATAGTGTTTTTCATAACTAGATAGTCTGATGAGTGCTAAAATACCAGTATTAAAAACTATGAGAGATGCTATGAAGATAGTGAATATGATAACAGGACATAATGACGGGGTGGTACTTTAGATA